TACCTCCCAAATTCCCTAAGAATAATAGCAGGAAAACAAGAGAGATATCCAAACCTAACAACCATCTGCACCCCAATCAATAGACCCAACAACTGGCCAAGTACATCATAATAAGGAGAGGAGTTATATGCCACTGTCAGTGCCCTTAAAAGAAAACAGACTCTCCTCCAAAAAATAAAAAAAGCCTCATAATTTCTGCTCAGCTTTACCCAAGGCTTGTGGTCTGAAAAATTATCCTTGCTCTCAGCTGTAGAAACAGAAAAGGTAATCTTACCAAAAAGATCCCTTGACATAATTTTTCTTCTTTCAAACCCCTTGAAGTGAGCTATCACCCAGCAGCATCTTTGGACATAGTTTGGAGACCTCTGAGTGAAGCGTCTGGGGCCTAGAATCATTTGGTCTAGGGCCTAGGATCATTTGGTATAGCTTGATATGTGGGTTCCCTCTAAAACCAAAACTTTGAGGGGGAAGCCAAGATTGATGTCCTCGGTCCTGCTGTGCAGAGGGAAGGCTGCACAAGTGAAACATGCCATTGCTTCCTGAAAAATTCTTTTTTTTTTTTTTTTTCTTTCTTCTTCAAACAAAACAGGACTTGGGCTCTCGCCTGTGCTAATAAGCTAGTAAGAAGCATTTAACTGTTTCAGCTCTTGCCAGATTTATAGACGGAAAGTTAGGGACAAGCGGGGGAAAAACAAGAATGACAAATCTGTTGAACTTAGGGGTTTTTGTTGTTGTTATTTTCCTTTGTAAGATGAAAGTGACTTTCTGTAACCTGAAACTGCTGGATTTTCCTCTTTCCCCCAAATGTTTTTTTTCATTTGTTTTTGACATCATTTAGAACATAGCCTACTATCTTGGCTTAATTTCTTAAAGCTGTTGTACCTCTTCAATGGGACCTTTTTCTGYCCTCCTGTTATAAAGAAAGGTATCATTTACTGCACTAATAAACGAATGAATGTTATCAGCTGGTCTCAGATTATTCAACTGTATATATTTTATTCTACATAATGGTTTTCTGGCAATCTAAATAATGAAATAAAGCATTCCTTAAAAGTGACTGTGCTTTGCAAGGGGATCATTCCTCCAGGAAAGATTTTTTGARGCATTTACACCTTCATTTTTTATGAGTTTATGTATCCAGAAACACATCTTATATACTTTCCATGTGGTCTGCATTAAAAGCATACCGGCCCTTGCTATGTGGCAATGATGTGGCCTGTGCCACAGATATGGCACTGTTCTGTGCCATATGTCTGTCACATTAAAGCCAGTCAAAGGAATCATCACTCTGTAGGAGGGAATGTGGTTATGATTCTTCACAGGAGAGCAGATGCTGTGTTTTGTTTCTCAGTAATTATACAGTTAAACTCTTTTCAGTATTTCTCTGYTATGCGATGTCAACTGAGAAACAGGATTTTTTTTTTTATTAGTTGGTTTTTCAAGTTGCCAAAAGTGTAGAGATGTTTTCAGGGCATGTTTCTACAGTGGTGACTATGCTGTTGTGAAAAAGCAGGTGATGCCTGTGAGTCTGAAGGAGAATTCTGATAGTGATGTGTTTGAGCAACCTTCCTAAGAATTTCTACCTCACGTGCTGATTAGTGAAATCASTTTATCCCACAGATCACATAGGTTGCAAAATTTCATTTGTATTTTCTCTTATTTTTCCTTGCACTTTGCGTGAAAGCATAAGTGTGGTGTATGTGACATCACATCTCCCTCTTTCCCGTAGTAATTGTATTTAGTAGAATTTAGAGGCCTTTTCCTATTAAATATACACTTCCCTTTTCAGGGTGGCATATGCTGCTTCTGTTCATTTAAACATGATTCTGGGGCACATACAGATAAAACACTGAAGGCCTCCTAGAGTGAATGAAATAGCCTTTTCATAGGAGGATTTTACTGYGAGGCTAGTGGGCTTACAAGGCTCGCTGTAGTCTCTTCTGAACTGTGGCTTTAGTGTGAGCCCTCCYGGCTAAGGATGCAAAGTGTGTCCTCCCTTGAAGACGCAGGTTCCAAGAATGAAGTACCTGTGCTTAGGGAAGTTTCGAGTGATCGACCATTACGCCTTCAGGCTCTAATCAGAACAAAACGATGCTCTTCACTACATCATTTCTGCTCCTTGCAATCTCCTTGCAATTCATGAGTTCTGTGTAGGAGAGTGAGAGCTCTGAGACCACGAAAAAGAGAAGGAACTCTGCCCGAGAATAACATCTTTGAGTTCAGCTTTCTGTATGAAATCTCGCCAGCYGTAATGACGTGCTTAGATGACCCATTTGCAGTGTGGGCGAAAACAGATATCGTGTCTCCTTGCTAAAGACGAAAAGCTGGTAAAGAGTCAGGCAGGAAAAGGATGGGTAGGCGGAAGTAACCAAGCAGATGAAACTGCTGGGACATTGAGAATTTGTTTTGTTGTTCCCTTTTGAGGACTGAAAAGAGGGACACTTTTGGCCAAATGGTCTCATGTCAGCAAAAGTGCTGTTTCTGGGGACGGGTTATAGACAGATTATGTACCACTGATTTCATCATTTGTGGGGTGAGGCCATTTGGGAAGAAACTAAACTTGCCAGTACTGTCCAGGCATCTAAAGGGACCCTGGTAGTGCTGCCGTGAAGAAATAAGGCATTTCCAGTGCTGATGAGCTCACCCATCTTTCCTAGGAGTGCCTATCGAGAAGCAGGGCTAAAGACTGAGCAATAAATACAGATGCTGATGCAACAGGCTGGAGTTTCTTTCTAGCTGTAATTATAGCAAAAAAACATACTTACATACATGCTTGAATTTAAAATGAAAGTGAGATGAGATAAACTGTACAGCTCTAGCAGGGACTCCAGTAAACACATAGCGAATGATTAGAAGTAGAAAGCATGTTGGTCCATATCACTTGCAGGGAGGATAAATCCCTAACTACCTAAAATGCTGTAGTGTTATATGGGACGTGCAATGAGAGGTGGATGGATCAGCAGCCAGAGAAGACGGGCTGGAATTGGAAAAGTTGTATATGAATGGCTAATTCATATGCAGAATTCATATGCAGACCTACTGAAGGTCCTGTTAGAAAATGCATTTGCAGAAGACAAATGTACAGATTTTAAATCAAAAACCAGCTAATTAAACACAGGTGCTAGAAACCCACACAGACATAGTCCCCATTTGATTCAACAGCAAACTCCTCTAGGTCATTTTATCCTTCCTTCCTTCCTTCCTTCCTTCCTTCCTTCCTTCCTTCCTTCCTTCCTTCCTTCCTGAGAAATTATGAGCTTTTCATGTTCTGATATTTGATTTCTCTATCGAAATATGGTCAGTTATGTCAAAAAGAAACTGAGTTGCATTACAATCTATTAAGCTGAGTTCTCTTCCACATCATTCCATCTAATCCATCTAAATTTAGGGAGCTCTACTGAAGAAAAAACGGAGTGACATAGTGGCAAATCAGTTCTGATGAAGRGGATTCTTTTACTTTAAGCCAAATTGACTTAAATCAGCAAGACAGAAGCCTGTGTTAAAATTATTGATTTTAATGTTGTCTTGCATTTGCAATTCATTTTTTTTTCTGAAGAACTTTAGATTTTCTCTGCSTGTAACCCTTTGACTGTGGATATTACAAGGAAATATAGCTCCTCACACTGTATCTGGATTCGTTTTATTTTGCAGGACAACATGGTGTATCCATACAAACTTATATCACTTAGAACATAGTCRGGCTCTTATTTATGAAGCTGCTTGGATTTCTGCTTAGGATTTGTTTCAGACTCTTCTTGTTTGGAAACTGGAACTAAGTTAACACACATACGGAGGACATCTTTGAAATACTGAGCTAACCCCAAAACATGTTTTGCACTTGAAAGTGAAGGAAATCCCGCTTAGAATTAACAAAACACTTGCTTCCAATTACTCTGTCCTTCAAGGCTTTCAAAGAAGGCCCGTTCATGCCTGTCTCCTGCCTTGCTGCTCTCCAGAGATGAGATGAGAAATTTTCTGCTGAGAAAATGTTTTCTCAACATTGACATCAGGGAGTTGCTGAACACAACTGGAAGCAAAACACACTCAGAGAGAAAATACTCTCTCTGCAAGCCCCGACCAGGCTGCTGCCCCTCTCCACCATGGGATCGCTCCCACAGCTGCTGTGTGCCGGCTGCTCATGGGGCAGCTGCTTCTCACTCGGGTGTGTGGCTGGGCAGGTGACGTGCACACCCTAACCTGTCTTTCTTAAATTTCCTTAATGTGAGGGATGCCAACAGAGTACATTGCTAAGACTGATATGATGCTTTTTCTATTTTGAATGTAATGTCACACAGGACTGTCTTCAAAGCGGCATCAGGCATTAGATTTAAATGCATTTTTAAGCCACATGTTTGAAAAAAACATGATGATGTTTTTTTCAGACACCACTGATGCCTACCTTGCCGGACATTTGTGCCCAGCAGAGATGTGCTGCCAGTGGAGCCCTTTTGCTCRGCTCGCCATCTGCTTCACCGAGGGCAATAGAAATTGAAAATGAAATAAAGTAGAATTGAGTTAAAAACAATTTCAAAAAGGAAAATCCTGGAGAGYGAGGCACGGCCTGCGCCCTGACCCTGTGGCAGTGGCCGTGGCCGCGGCGCCTGCGTGCGGGCAGCGACGGGCTGGCGCGGCGGGCGGCCGTGGGGCGGCGTTACGCTCGCCCGCGAGGAAGCTGTGGGCGGCCGGTAGCCACTTATGAGGGCGAGGGCCCCGCGCGCCGCCGCCTTTCCCCAGCGCTGCGGCTCAGCCTCCGCCTGAGGCCGCGGGGCGCACGGAGGCCGGCGCTCGCACCGGGGCTGGCAGTGCCCCCGGGCACCCCCCTGTGGGCAGGGAGGCAGAGAGAGAGAGGACAAAGCGAGTTTTCGCCCTTTTCCTCCCGCAGCACCGGAACGGGAGCAGGCAGGAAGCAGGGGGTGACGGCAGCCGTGGGGCTCGTGCCCCACACCGCGATTTCCCAAGGGCACAGCGCTCTCCTGTGCCATTCCAGGAGGCACACGAGCATGGCGTGCGGCCCCGAGGCCCCGCTGGCACCGTCCAGACGGGTGCRGAAGACCTTGTTCTGGCTCGGGCTCCTTGCATGTCACGTCATGAGCTTAGGTAAGGAGGAACACGGCTGCCCGCCTGCGCCCCAGCGGGCTGGTGGCGTCGTTCGCTGGGGCTGCCACTGGGCCAGGTTTGAGGCTCAGCAATGGCTGGGGAGGGCGATTTCTGCCTGGGAGGCATCAGYCCATGGGAGGGGAACCACGTCGGAGCTGTTGTGCCCGCACAGTGCTAGCGGAGCCGGAGYTCCTGCAAGCTGTGGCAGAAGGGGCCCAAATGCTCATACTCCAGCTCCTGTCTGTGGAGACAAGTGCTCCCTTCCCTGGGGTGGCTGTGCTGGGTCCGGGAGCGAAGGGAGGCTGGAGCGAGAGGAAGGCAGGCGACCCAACCAGCCATGAGAGGCTCAGGACGGGTTTCCTCAGCTGAGCGAAACGTTCACCTTGAAACCACGCAGAGCTGGTTCCGGAGCTGGGGTTTGTTACAGCTGCAAATCTGGTTGTGCCTCTGGACAGCTTTAGCGTTCCTCAGGAGCTAATGATGCTCTGGAGCAAACCCTGAGTGACCCTAGGCTTTGATTAAAAACTGAGTTGTGCAAATCCTAGCAACTCTTTGCGCTAATGTTGTGAAGCTGGGGGTCGGGCAATGCTCTCTGATCAGTTTTGTGTGGAGTTTCAGTGTCAGAGCTCTAAAACACAAATCGGAGCACTTACCAAGGGGTTGAATCACAGAGCTAGCCTGCAAAGAGAGCAGCCTCTGAAATCTCCTCTCCTGAGAGCTTGTCTCCTCTCCTCCCTCATCTCTGTGCATGCAAAGCACGTATCAAACACACAGATAATTTTTGCAGAGACTGCATGTGTAAAATACTCTATCCATGCACAGAACTGTTTTTCATTTTTTTAAGTGATTGCAAGATAATACTAAAGTAGCAATGGGAATATTATTCATCAGTTTTGTGGGTCTTTTTTAAGAAAAAAGTCTTCTGATTCTATGACCGAAGATGGGAAATATTTGGTTACCCAGTCTGATGTTTGGTGACATCCAGTACTACAAATAGAAGCACGTTATTTTTAGAAAACTTGGAGTTTGGACAGTKGCTTTTCTTTTTCAGATGGTTAGCTGTGCTTTCTCTGCTTGTAACATTTGGGTCTGCTGCCCAAATCAGTGAGAGGTAGAGCTCACAGAGTTACGGAGTCCTTGCATTTCAGCTAGCCCCTGGCCCAGCGCGAGCTCCCGAGAGCCACAGACTGCCCTGCCTCCTGTCTTGCCCTGTGGCTAGAGAGGGCACGTGGGGACTACTTGGAGCGTGGTGACTCCAAGGGCTTCCAGTCGCCTGGCGGAATCCRTTGGGTTGGGAGACACAAGGCACATCACAGACCAGCAAAGTTGGGTGATCCTGTTGCTGAGAGGTCTGTTTTCTCTAAATCAAGGTTGATTACAAAATTCCAAGGTTTAATGCTGCAAGAGGCAGACTGGGGGTGTAAGAGGGAGAGGGGAAGCTCTTTTAAAGAATAATATCAGCTTCTGGGATTTCTTCCCCAGTTTACAAGCCTATAGAATTCCTGGTGCCCCAGCAGCCAGGTCATTTGGCAGGCTACTAACAGCAACAGGACAGTGTGCTTTCTTTCCCCCTCTGTCCACACACTTAGACACTTTTACTTTCTCGTCAAAACTAAGCATTCCCACATGGTGACCTTTACGTATGCATATGGTACGTATACATATGCATCCTCTACTGTGCACATGCTCCTTCTGTAGAAGTTTTACTGGGACTGGCAGATAATGCCTTCCCTAGGTCGCCCACATGGACCACAAGACCTACTTCTGACCTCATCATGGCAAAATGGTGAAGCCCTGGAAGTCCGTCGTGGCCCTGCCAGTGACTTCCCATTCATTACTGAGCAAGTCCCCAAGGCTTCAATACGTTTATTTTCAGAACTGATCCCAGGCTCATGCCTGCATCAAGGCATAGCTGAAGCGRGCACTCAAAGTCTGTGGTTGCTCTTACAACCTCCCTGGGTTCAGCCCAGGTGTCCTGGTGCTTGCACACRCTCGTGCTGTAGCTCCCAAAGGCCAAGTAGCATGCTGAGATGASAGTGGGCTCTCTCTGCATATCATGTGCATGCTAAATAGTAACATGGGCATTGTCAGGATGAATTTTGAAATTCAAAGAATAGAAAAGGTATTTGAAGGTGGTGGAAGGGGCAGTAATTAAAAGGCTGATTTGAAGACTGTACTATATAGGATGCTGCATAAGCCCAAACTATGCAGCTATGGTTACTTCCCCTTAATTTTGCTGCCATAGGTTTCAGGTGACCCACTGAGATGTTACAGTAACTTACAGCAGTGGCTTATACCTGTGCCTTTGCATTTGTTATAGTAGGAAAGCATTGCTACAAGTCACCCTGGATTATTTTCCTTGTCCTGTGTGCAAACATGGAGTAGGCAGTGACTGCAGGGACCCACTGGTCCCTGTTTAGTGTGGTGAGAGAATTCCTTCTAGGCCTTCTGCAGTCCTTGCATCCGACCAGAGAYCGTCCAGTTCTCTGTTTCTTCCCTGTCCTGAAATTTTTGGGAAGTTTTGAGGAAAATCCCTATAGCATTTCTGAGTTGTTAGAGAGTGAGGGGGAAAATATCCACTTCCCTCAGCACTGAAAAACCATGTTTGCTCACAAGTAGCTCAGTCTGGGAATCCCCTCTCACATAGTGCTGCCAGTGAAGAGCCCAGGGCAGAGCTAGGTTTCGGAAAGGGACAAAGTGGGTTGAGAGCGAAAAAAAAGATTACTTGCTTCATAGTCACCCACTAGTGTCTAGTAATGAGATTGATTTGTGATCACAATGGATTTGTGGCTAATTTTTGTGCCAGCTTCAGTGTACACTTACTCTAGTGCAGTCTGAGTTGCAGAGATGGCAGGAATTTCTCCTGAGATACAAGGATTGCCCACTTCATGAGTGGATGCAAATTGAGTTTCTGTCCTATTGCTGTTGCTGCCTTTTTTTTTTTTTTTTTTTTTTTTTAATGAGTTTCTACCTCCTCCTTTTCCTGATACACAGAAAATAAATGTTTCGGTTAAAAAATAATGACAGTGGAACTAAGAAGGAACAACTTTTTCTGCCTATCCTGAGTGAAACCTGCTGGCCCAGCCTCTCTGGAGAAAGAGAAACTCACCCAGAGACTGTTGTGTTTCCTTACAGACTGTTTTACTTTTTTCCTGTTTTTTTTTTTTAATGAAAGATTTCTTAAAAACAAAACATTAATTAAAACATACACAAGACAAATTCTTAGACAATTGAAGTGTAGTTATATACATGCATAAATTACAGTTTGTAATGTTACCCACRTGATGCGTCTTTCACCCCCATTTTCTCCAATTTCCAGTTAGACCCGAATAAACCCAATTAGCTCTGCTGAGCTCACATTACTCTGAGGCCAATAACATTTTTGCATTTCTTGGATCACTGCCACATTTGTAACCTTTTTGCAATACCAGCATCGGACATTCTTGCATTCAACATGCAAACTTTTGGGCTGAATTTTACCCACTGTGGTGGGCTATTAGCAGAAGTTGCCGCCTTGTCCGCCCTCACACCTTTCCTGCTTGTTGCTGCCTCAATTCTGAGTTACAAGGCTGACTTCATGGCATGACGAATCTGACACAACTGAAGGTGGCCACTGATGGGGGCTTAGTTTTCTGTTGGACYAGCCCGTTGAATCAAGCTAGTCTGCAACCACTAGAGCCAAAGCAAGGAAAGTGAGTGGCCATGTGGCAGGTGCCAGGAAGATGCTCCCTTTTCCGTGGCAACTTGCTTTTACAGCAGGCTTTGTGTGCCATGAAATGGCATCCTGAAGGGCACAGCCACATGGCACAGCCACCCAGCATAGCAGAGGTGGCCACAGAGTTCATTGCCCCTGAGAGATGCATTCCTGCTCTTCTAGCCTCTGCTTCCAGCTGCACGATCCTCCCCTTGTTCACACGAAGCATAACACACATCTGGTCCTTGGATGAGCTAATTCAACTCCCAGCTTAGCAGATAATTCAACTCCCAGCTTAGCAGATTCCTTTTTTTTTCTTTGCTCTATATCCACAAAGCAGGGATAGAACCAGGCTCTGGAGAGATGTGCAAGTAAAGCAGTGGGAACACAACATGTTGGAAGGGAAAAGGGAGCCAGACTACCTCTTTCAGTATGAAGAAGTTGTTAGATCCATGAAGCTCATCACCTAACGCACCTTGAGGCCCTCCCAGGCTGGAGGAAAATTTCCACATTYAGAGAAATGCTCCTGACTTCTTAACATGTGTTTCCCACTCCGAGCACTACATGCATGCAGATTTGGTATTTTTCATGAGGTGGCAAGGCAAATGTGTAGTAGAGTGCAGAAAAATTTGTTTGCTTGGCAAAAGGAGATCATTTTTGTTTTCAAATACATGAATTTTATGTTTAATTGTAGCTTTTCTATCCCCGCCGAGGGACATCACTATCAAGAGTTTCAGGAGCTYATTTGAGAATATGCAGATCTTTCCCTGCATGGAAATGTCACAACCTTGCTTCTGCTTTTTCACTGTTATGCTTTTAAAATATTATTGGTCCCCAGGGACTCCCTGACTGAAAATAAAAGTGCTGACTGCTGGGTAGTGGTGGCATCTCCAGCTACACTGCACTCAGAATACACGCACTTGTTGGTGAGTCCACACTGCTACTGTAACATGTGAAAAGTTAGAGAAGACTCTGGAGACAAGCTCCTTTCTGCACTGCTGCCCTCTCCGTAGCAGCTAGCCTCTGCTGTGGTTTTAAATACTTGACAGACAAAGATTTCATCCCTGCTCTCGGGAAAGTGCTTCAGTCTAAACAGATCTCACTGTTAGATGTCGTTTCCTTTCAGCTGCAAGTGTCCCTTCCTCGCGCTAGCCTGACCCGTGAAGCTCCCCGCTGTTACCTGAGTGCCACAAGCGGTCCCTGCCCAAGTCCCTGTCATTTCACTCCACCTCTGGTCTCGGTAGCTTTCAGATACCTCTGGACATTTGTTCCCCTTTTGCTCTTCATCCTTTAGCTCATCACCATT